GGTCATTATTGTGGGGGATTGAGTCTGTCTGGTCAGCAGTGGCCAGGTTTGGATTTTGCTGCTTTCTAGTTACCTTTAGTGCATCATTGTATTGAAGGCCTAAAATTTCATCTACTGCCTTGACATCTTTGAGTCTCATAGGGCCCCAAAAGCTCACTGATGAGTTCCCCCATTTTTCCAGCTATGCCCTTCACCCAGCAGGAAAGGCTCCCCACCTGACTAGTTCCCTTAACATCTCACCAAGTTTGCAGCCTACTGGGTTTCACTTCCCTGCCAGAGATATTCAAGCAAGCTAGTCACATCCTCCCATGGGAACCTTCTTTGGGAACCAGGGCACGCTTCCCCTCTTGTTACACAAAGCCTCACTTCCACAACTCCTACTGGCTCACCATTCCCAGTGCAACCCCTGTGTGGCCCAGCATGGTGTCCTTCCCCCCGAGCCATGAATCTGTGTCACTAATAAACTGCTGCCAACCTCATCTGTTTAGTCTTGAGTGTCATATGTTGTGTGCCTGCCCATCCTGTACTGCTTTGAGGGGGGATCCCTCACTGAAGGGGTGAATAGGAGGTGTTCCGAACATCCACAGACTTCAAATTCTTACCTGTGCTTGACGTGGGGCCTGGAATGCTGAGGCTTTTTCAGTGTTCCTGTCCCAGCGCCAGCAGGCCCTGTACTCCAGAGCCTCTCTCCACGTTGTTGCCCTTCTGGTGGTGGTGTGGTGTAACTTGTTACTATAAGGTTCGTGGTGTGGCACAGAAGGCTTCTCAGCTGTCCTGTTGAAGCCCCAGTCTTGGGCGGGCTTTGTGTGTCCGAGTCTCAATGACAGCACTCCCATAGTTTCTTCATAGCAACCAGTCTCTGCATTGTATTGCATTTTACTGGCAGGGGTTGTGGATGGGCACAAACTTCCTGCCCTGCTCCAGTGGCAGGCAGCTTTAGCTTTGTATGAAAGAAGGATCTGGGGAGCAAGGGGTTTTCTTGCCTGGTCCCCAGTGACAGCTCATCACCATTTGCACACCCACATCACCATCAACAGGGGTTTTCTTAGTATCTTCCCTTGTCCCTGTTCCTCCTGCTGAGCACCTGATGGAGGAAAGGGGTGTGTGGGTTCCCTTTGAGCACTGCTTTATTTAGCTCCATCTTACAAAGTTTGATGTATGTTTTCATTTTCATTCCTTCAAAGTATTTTTCATTTTGATTTCTTTTTTGACCCGTGGATTATTTAGAAATTTTGCATATTTGATTTTTTTTCATGTTTTTCTGTTACTAAATTTTAGTTCAATTCTGTTGTGATCAGAAAACATACTCTGTAAAAACCATAATTTACATTTTTGAGATTTGATTGATTCTGATCCAGTATATGGCCTGTTATGGTGAATGTTCTCTGTGTTCTTGGAAAGAGTAGATATTTTGCTGTTAGGTGGAATGTTTTATAAATGCTACTTAGGTCAAGTTTATTGATAGCGTTATTTAACTCTTCTGAAGCCTTACTGATTTTCTGTCCACTTGTTCTGTTACTTACTGAGAGAGCAGTGTTAAATGTCTCTAGCTATAATGGTGGATTTTTCTATTCCTTTCAGTTGCAGTTAGGTTTTTGCTTTAATTATATTGAAACTGTTGTTAGTACATACACATTTAGGATTGTTATGTTTTCATGGTGAACAATAAACAATGTTTTATCTTTTTGTTTTTAAAAAAAAAAAATCTTTATTGATTTCAGAGAGAGGAAGGGAGAGGGAGAGAGAGAGATAGAAACATCAGTGATGAGACAGTCATCATTTTTTTTTTTTAATATCTTTATTGATTTCAGAGAGAGGAAAGGAGAGGGAGAGAGAGAGATAGAAACATCAATGATGAGAGAGTCGTTGATCGAGCCCACAACCCAGGCATGTGCCCTGACTGGGAATTGAACCCCGATCTCCTGGATCCTAGGTTGACACTCAACTGCTGAGCCATGCCCAGCCGGGCCGAGACAGTCATCATTGATCGGCTGCCTCCTGCACGGCCCCCACCAGGGATAGGGCCCGCAACCCGGGCATGTGCCCTGACCTGGAATCGAACCGCGATCTCCTGGATCCTAGGTCGATGCTCAACCGCTGAGCCATGCCTGGCTGGGGGACCCTTTTATCTTTAAATCATGCTTCTTTATTCATGCTAATACTCTTTGTGGTGAAGCCTGCTTTATCTTCTATTAGTATAATTGCTCAGGCTTTATCTTTTTACATGGGATATCTTGTTTTCTTCCTTTTCTTTTACCTTACTTATGTCCAAAGTGGGCTTTTGTGGACAGACTACAGTTAGAGTTTTAAAAATAAACAATGTGACAAACTCTGCCTTTTAGTTGTAGTGTTTAGATCACTTACCTTTATTGTAATTACCAGCAATATAATTATTGGTTTAAATCTGTCATCTGAGCATTAATTTTCCATTTGTCCCGTTGTTTTTGTCCTTTCCCCATTTTGATTTATTTTTTGTGATTCTCATTTTATCTCTACTAGTGGCTTACTAATTAAACTTTTGTTTTGTTTGTTTAGTGGCTTACAATATGCATCTTTAATGTACCACAGTCCACCTTTCAATCAAATACCGCTTAGGTTACACAGGTTATAAGAACCATACAGCAATGCGCTTCCAGGCCTTCCCTCCCATTTTTGTGCTTTTGTTGCTGTACACTCTATGATTACTATTTTGCTTTAGATAATCAGCTATCTTTTAAAGAGATTTAAAAAATATCTTTTCCCATAAGTATAAATATATAAGGTATATTTATTTACTTGTCATTATTAATTTTTTTTTTTTTTTTTTACACCATTTCTGCCCCTTTTCATTTCTTCATGTAGATTCAAATTTTTATGAGCACCAGTGGGGGCTTTCTCAGGTTTGCTGCTCTGGCCCAGTTCTTTCTGATAAACACCTGGTGGAGATCTGTGACAAATGTTTGTGTATTCCCCTTGTGTCTGAAGCTTCCTTGTGTTAAACAATTGTCTTCGCCCACTGTTGACCTTTAATTATTTGGTAATTTTGTTGTTTTCTTCTTACCTTAATTTTTATTGGTCACTTGTTTCTTTTATGCTCTGCCAAATTAAAAATAGTTCATGAGGCCTGTCTCCTTACAATGATTTTGGAATTCAGGTGATTGTCTTATAACCTTAGCTTTTGGATGGACTCATGAATTGTTAGGGTTTTATAGACTATCTCTTCTTCTTAATTTTTTAGGGTAGGAATGACATCCTCCTGTGGATTTCTGCATCCTTAAAAGAAGTAGTACCTGAAATAATGTAAAGTAACCTAAGAAGTTCCAAAGTTCAAAATAGCCAGGTCTTTCTTACAGTTGCCATAGAAACCCCTTTTAACAAAGGTATTTCTTAGCTTTTGTATTATTTAGGCTTCAGTTTCAGATAACAAAATTACAGGAACTATTTTGAACAGAATGGGATATAATTTCAGAAATTAGGTGCTGAAATCTTTGATAGGTTTGGAAAAGTAGGCCTCAGGCTAGGCTTCAGAACAGTCCTACAGAAATGGCCCAGCAGGTGAGCTCCCACCTCTGCCCCATATGGAAACTGGGAAGCTGCTGGGTTAACTTCTGCTCCAGGATCACACTACTTTAACCTTGGTGTTGGGATCAGGAAACCTCAAGCAGAGCTTTGGGCTCTAAAACCATTTTGTGCCTCCTTGCTCTGATGCAGCAGAATGGATGCCTTGTGCACCAATCCTCTCTCAACCCTGCTTAATTCACTTCTGAATTTAGGTCTTATACACGTATATCTGATTGGAAGAAATAAATCACAAGGGAGTCTTGGAAATACAATGTTTGGATTTCTCATCTTTACATTATAGGAAAGTGAAATAGAAGGAAGTTGGAACTGATAGTGGACAAACTGTAACTGGAGTCGACAGAATCCATTTGAGTGAGCTGGTTTGAGGAGAAAGAAATTTATTACAGCGTGTTAGAAGGCTAACAACCTCCAGGAGTTTCCAGGGATCCAAGTTTAGATGCTTCACAGCCAGGACTTGTGAAGCCAAGAGCAATATCTAACCCCACAGCGGCAATGCTCTGGCAGAAACCCCACTGCAAAGACTGATGCCTCTGCTACCAGGCTGGCTTGATTTGTGCTCCACTTTGACTGTCAATAAATGCCACATCTCTAGGGTCTACTCTTCGAATACTTCACTTCTTACCATTTTTTATATTACAGTGCTTTTGATTATGGGTGAGAGAAAGTCATCCTCACCTAATTTAGAATAAAGATATAGGCCATATTAGTCAGAGTTCTTAGCTGCTAAGTACAGAATTCACAATATCTAATATAAGCAGAAAGGAATATAGGAGATTAGGTTCTCATAGAATCTCCGGAAGGACTAGAGAACCAGGCTTGGACGCTATACTTTCAGGAACAGTGGAAACACCCGTGCACTCTGCTGCTTGGCATTCATGATTTCAAGCTTCCATTGCAGAAAGGTCAACAGAGATGGCCCAGAGGAACATGATACCACAACCATTGTTCTTGCCAAACTATCCCAGTCTCCTTGCATGCAGCCTCATTTTGATGTTGCTCAAGTCTATATATCTAAATGTCATTCAGGTTTGTCAGCTTGGCCAGCCTAGCTTGTGAGTCTGCACCTTTGTTCAGCGGTGTCTGGGGGAAAATACAGTTTAGAGCTCCAAGGAGGATACGCTAGAAGGGGTTTTGGAATAATAAAAATAACAATACTAAAAATAATAATAATAAAGAATAAATAAATAAGTTAATTAAATAAAATCGTATTAGTCATAAGATTTATAATTTCTAGCAAAACGGGAAGTAGAAGTGGACTGTGTCCTATTATTTTCTAACTGAATATGACTTGTTTGGGATACCCTTTGCTAAGAATTAATTTCAGTTTTCGTAAACTGAATGAATCTTCCATGTGGATATTTGCCTCATTATTTTAAAGTAGTGGTTTTAAAGGAAAGCAGCTGCTGTTTACATTATTATGTTAAATATTTTTTTTTCAGCTCCCTTGGAAATCATTGACTAGCATCATTGAATATTATTACATGTGGAAAACTACTGACAGATACGTGCAGCAGGTAATTTTTTTGTATCACTACCAATATGATGACATTAAAGTGAACTTTCCATTTATATTTTAATATTTCTTAGCAATATACTTAATTTTAAATTTGTCGTGTTTGCTTTATCTTTTTTAGATGTTTAAACTGCATGATTTCATATCCTTAAGATACTACTTTTAAGATTTTAATCTTAATATGTATTTTTAACTTTAGATGTTATTATGATAGCTATTTTGGAAAGATGGCAGGGAAAAATACTAGAGAAGTAGTGTTTTCTTTGTAGGTGCCTGGTGCTTCATATCTTTGTGAGTATTCTCGAAGGGAATGACCTAAGATATGATGTTAGCATAGAGCTTTTGAACAACTTTTTACATATTGAAAATTGTGCCATTAACCATATAATTTGAGGTATTTTAAAGATATTCTGAAACTTTTTTATATGACATTTTTGTAGATATACCCCCGAAATCTTTTATCTTTTAACTGTAAAGTTACTCTTACTAGTTTGATGCTTTGGTACTATACATGCATTTTTATCCAAAATTATTTCTAGAAGCAGGGAACCATTTGTTTTTGACTCCTTCCTACATGTCCCAAATTGAGATAATTCTCTTAGTTACTTATTTTGAGCAATATTTCCTGGGAAAAGGCACACTTTCCTGGAGCAACCTCAGTTAGTACTTGCTTTTATATTCTTCTGGTCACATGTCAGAACTGGTAAAGAAAGGGGCAAGTATATTTAACACAGACATTATTTTTCCTAAGTATGTGATTGCACAGTGGCCAGGTCTGGATGTTGTAAAAATACATTTTAAGGATCACTTTATAAATTACCACAGTGAGTTGCTGAGATCATGAATAGTGAATAGCCAGCACCCCTGGCTTGTTGAAACATTGCCAGTGTCAGCATCATACATAATTCAAAAAGTGCTTATTTGAAATGACTTAGGTAGGCAGCCATGAAGACCGTGTGTTCTGAAAACTGTTACTCAGAGCAGAGAGTCCCTAAAGATGGTGGAGATTATGGCATCAAGGGTGGTTGAAAATAGTTGGATAAAATCATTTTCAGAAATTTCAACTCTGTCCCTGAAAGTTTTAAGTTTGTCCCCCTAAATGTTTTTGTTTACTCCTCATTGAGAAAATGAGGGGAAATATTTTGGTTTGTCTTATTTTTGGATATCTTTCATATATTATTTTCCTTCCCTATTTGCATTCATTGTTGTATTGATCAGTCTCTGGATTTGACTACATAATCTTTTTCCCATTCCTTTTCCTGCATTTGGCTCCTAATTGGTTCCTAAAATCTGATGTGAGTTCAGCCAAGCTTTAAAGTATACTGCATACCTCCCAACATTTGAGGGTAAATGCTTATTTAATTGTACTTAGAATAGTTACTGTCTCTTTCTTTTGCATGGACTTTGAAAACTAATCATCTCTGAATATTTTTCTAAAAGTAAACATTATGTATGTTTTTTTTCTCCCAGAACAAAAAAAAGAAATAAGGTAGAAAGTAAATTTGAAAAGTAAAAATGGTTACTTACAAGTCCTATTTATTCACTCCTGTGGGTAATGGAGTTGTTCATTGCTTTATTTTAAAAATCTATTTCTAAAATATTATTAATACTTATGTTTCTGTATCTCAGAAACTAGTGACTTTTCTTGGAAATTACTGCAGCTTATATGCACACCTTAAAATGGCAATTTTTGGATTATGCTCTAATATATCATTTTCTTGTGAATTTTTTAAAACAATGAAGTGGTAATAATTACTAAGCATTGTATGTAATATATTTTATCTATCTTTTGAATTAGAAACGTCTAAAAGCAGCAGAAGCTGAGAGTAAACTGAAACAAGTGTATATCCCAACTTAGTAAGTAATGGAAATCTTAAAATATTTGTCACGGTATTAATTCTCTCAAAATGAATGTCATTTTGGTCAATTTCAGCCAAATTTGAATTTCTTTGTGTACCTTATATTTTTCCACTACAAAACATGAGACTTGCTTCCCATTATACGACTACAGTGATATTTTTCGAGAGAGAAATGGCTGGTGGGAGAACCACCAGTAGACAACAAAAGGCCTGGAAGAACAATGGCCCTGTATTTTACTTCTCTCACAGCTGCAGGGGAAGTGTCAGGGAACTAAGCTATGGAACTATTATTTGGAGCAAATGTGTTTCAGGAAGCTACCAACTTATGAAACTTGTACCTAATAGAATGGATTTTGTTTGTGTAATGAGTGTTGCCCTTTTGAGGTATGTTATTTGGTTGATAATTTTATATTATTTGCTTAGGGGAGGAGTTAGGGAAAGTAATTAGGATCATACTTTGTCAATGTTGGATAAATAATGAATAACTTTTATTGTTTTGGCCTAGCATTCTATCATTGTTTTCCTTTTGACTTAGAAATTATTGTTATATCAAAATGGATGCCAATTTTCTTTTTATATGCTATGTTTTAAATGAATTATAATCTTTTTCTTGAGATCTTTGAAGTTTGATTATTTATTTGTTCAGGAAAATTTAGTTTATCGAGCACCATGTATATAGTGCTATCCGAGGTTCTTTTGGGATAAAAATGAAATTTACTACAAAGTTCTATGTACCACTCCAAGATTTTTCTCACTCTGTGAGCTCCGAACAGTTGTTTTATACTTAGCCTTTTGTTTGCTGAATTTTGATGTATTAAGACATTTTTATATGTAGGAAGCATCATAGTAAATGAGTTGTAATATTTCTTACTAATCTTTTTTAAGCTCCACCTAAGCATATGCTTTCCTTGATTTTGGAGAGACAGGGAGGGAGAGAGAGAAACATTTATGTGAGAGAGAAACATCAATCTGTTGCCCTTTGAACTCACCCCATCTGTGGATCAAACCCACAACGGGGGGTGTGGGATGTGTGTGTGCCCTGACCAGAAATTTAAACCATGACCTTTCAGTGTACGAGATGACACTGCAACCAACTGAGCCACACCAGCCACAGCATCTTACTAATCTTTTATCTCATGGCATATAACATGTAATTTACAGGGTACATAATTTTTATTCAGAGCTGTTACCTCTTTTTATAAAGAAACTGCTATTGGAACACAGCCATATTCATTCATGTATGTGCTATCTGTGTCTGCTTTTGTGCTACAACTGCAGAGCCTAGTGGTTACTACAGAATTATAATATCCACAAAGCTTAAAATATTTACTATGCCAACCCCTGATCTAAGTGAATGATTTTTGGAGCTCGAGACAGTTTCTAATCATACTTTTAAAAGAAGTTATATAAATCATATACATAAATAAATAGAACATATGAAGCTGCATTATTGAGTTGGATAGGTATGAGTCCTTTGAAGAATTTCCCAGTTAACTCTAGAACTGAATATTTAAAGACAAAAGTAGATTAAGAATTACTTCATACTGTCACTCTTCTGAGCCTGGCAGTCTCCTGCATGCAGAGCAGTAGAGGTAGAAAGGTTCAGAAGACAGGTCCCGTTCTAGTATGGGAGAGACAGATGCAAAACAGCTTGTCACCCAGTGTGACAAGTACTAAGATGGAAAATAGCTCTTCTGTGGCTGGTGTGGTAGGCAAGGGCCATGAGTTATCCAGCTGATGAAGAGTGGAAATGGATTTTAAACAAGGAAGTGTGATGATCAGATTTGTACTGTAAGACCACTGGCTACATTCTGAAGAATGGTTTGGGGAATGGAGTAAGAGTGGGTGTAAGGAGACCAGTTGTGACATTCTTGGAGAGGAGAGAGAGTAGGTTGACCTAGAGTTGTGGCCCTGGAAGTCCCGCTCTGCTTGGAGGTGATTGACGTATTTGGATTTGTGGAAGGCAGATGTCAGGGTTGAGTCCCAGGTTTCTGGCTAGCACAGCTAGGTGGATTGCTGTGCTGTTCAGCAAACAGAAACTGTGGCAGGGAACCAGGTTTTAGGTAATTTTGAGTTTGTTGTGTCCACAAGAGGTGTTGAATATATTGTCAGATATATTGGTTTTAAACTCAGGGGAAAGTTCTGGGCTAGAGATACAAAGTTGAGCTTCATCAGCTTATAGTACTGTGTTTTAAAACATGGATGAGATTTCTTAGGAGGAGCAATAAGAAAAACGTGCCTTGGACCAAGTTTGAGGAAATTCAGTATTTATATGCCAGATAGAGTATAAAAGCTAAAACAGAATAGCAAGGTGAATGCATTATTATCATGAAAGCTGAGAGAGGAGTTTGTTTCAGGGAGGGAAAGAGATCAACAGTGTCAGATGCTGGTGAAAAATATCCCGGGAATTGAGCAGCATGGAGGTCATCGGTGATCTTTAATGCAGTGTGAGGGCTGCCTATGGGCCAAGGTGCTGCAGACACTGAGGATTCGCAGCTCAGGGAACCTGGCTGGAAAGGGTGGTCGAGAGAGAGTTCTTGGCTTTGAGGAGTAGGTTGGGATAGAGATATGGGAGAGTTTTTAAAATAGGAGAAATACATTCCATGTTAATGAGGAGGGTCCAGGAAAGAGAGTCAAGTGTACAGAGTTCTCAAGAGGGTAGAGGGATGGGCTCTGGAGCACAGATGGGGGAAGGAAAGGCCCAGGCATTAGATAAAAGAAGGGCAGTTTCATATAATGTGACTTTAAAACCTTTTTCACGTTTGTTGTGGAGTAAAAGTTTATTCAGATGGTCACATTGACATCAATCATTTGTACCCTGAGAATTAATCTGTAGGTACTTGGTTTCAGAGTTTAGGTGATTCACATGTCATATCCAGCCTTTGCACACTTGTTTTCCTTTTGTAATTATCATAATGGTAAGGCCCGTGGTTTTATTTGGTCACAAACTGTTCTAGATTCTGGCGGAGAGCTGAAGTTGTGTTTACTCTTACTCTTTTTTTCAGGCAGCTCCTCTGTAAATTTGTATTAGCTCTTTTTCAACACATACATTTAGCCCTGGGCTAAGTGTCAGAAATTTTCATATTTTGGGGAAGTCATTTAATTTCAAGGGGCCACCATGTCTTATTTATCTATCTAGTAGGTTTTTAAAAATCAGAAATATTATTATATCCCTTGGAAATCTTAGTCATTCTAAATCACCACTTTTCATTTTGTACATTTCCAAATGAAAACTTTAAGAAGAGAAATACATTCTTTCTGGCTTAAAATGTGTTTTTATAACCAATTTGTCTTTAAAACACATTGCTTGGCACAGATTATGAGTGTAAATAATAGCCCTGCATGTAGAATAGGGACCTCAGAGCTCTCAGAGGTTAAATGATTTCATATGGGGGTGGTGGTGGGGTGTCACCAAGAGTTACCGTAACAATGCCAGGAAGAGATCTTAATTTGCCCTAAGGCAAAGCTTGCATACTAGGCTTTCTCTGGTCATTGGAACTGTGGGAATGAGAAACAGCAAAGAGGAAACTCCTAAACCAATTCTGTGTTGAAACTCCAAGTGTCTTGATAGTTGTGACTGCTCCTTACTTCAGTGACCACAGGAAGATATAGTTATTCAGCATTTATTTCTCCCAAATAGGCGTGAAAGCTCCTTCAGGTCAGGCACTGTATAAATGCATGCTAAATGAATTATGAGTTTATAGAGGACATACTGTGTGTACCTGTGCAGTATTCTTGGGCATGGCTTACAAGCAGGGAGCTAGCCTGCCCTCGATGGGGACAAGTTGGCCATGTTTGCACAGCAAGTACAGGATAACCTGGACTACCTGTCTCTGGGGAATTATGGCCTCTGGGGAATTTGCATGTACACTGCTGATAGACGTCACCCTTTTCCTCCTCCTAAAAATTTTTTCTCAAAGAGAAAACCCCCAAAATACATTTATTGGTTTTTCTTATTTCAAATGCTATGTAATTTCCTCAGAAAAGTTTAAACATAATAGAAATTATTATCATGAGTGGTCAAAGTCTCCTGAAATGCTGACTCACCTCTGGAGATATGCTCTGTTGACATTCAGAGTCTGTGTTGAACACGGGCTTTTGTACAGTTCCCTGGAGAGTCAGCAGGACCAGGACAGTGCTTTCCTTTGAGCACAGCACATCGCCTTTGGCTTCATTTATATGATTCATAAAAGTATTTTATTTTCTCAGGAGAATTTGTGATAGCTGATACAGCTTAATGACTTGTATTGTTCAAAAGCATCAGAGGGTATCCTAAAGAAATTATATTTGTGTGGAGACGAGAGATGGCTGTACATATTTCTTTTGTGTTGGGCATAAGAGATTGGTTTGTACATGCCTTTGTTTTGTAAAAATGAATGGTTCGGGTTGACTTTTACCGGTGTATTTCTTCTTCACCAAGCATTCAGATTTATTTATGTGTAGTTCAGATAAGTCAGTAATGAAACATAGAGCCTTTGCCATGTTTGTAGAAGTCATTTTTATGACCTCACTTTACATTTCATTGAAAGCAGCAAACCAAATCCCAACCAAATATCCACCAGCAATGGCAAACCTGGCGCTGTGAATGGAGCCGTGGGAACCACGTTCCAGCCGCAGAATCCCCTCTTAGGCCGAGCATGTGAGAGCTGCTATGGTAAGTTTTCTCCAGCCGGGCTTTATTTTCTCATTTGAGGCCTGACTCAGTGAAGTGCATGGAACTGTGCTGGCGCTGTGGTTGGGAGGCACACGAGGTCAGTACTGGGAAGAAGACAGAATAGTGTAGCCTTAGGGTGAATAGATGCCCATCTGCCTTCCTCCTGGACACTTGAGTATTTAAGTACTGGGTTTCCTTTGATTTGCTTTTGTGGCATCCTGTGTTTGTTGGGTATCCATGGCATTGTAGCTAAGCTGCATTCAGAGTTGTTATTAGCTTTGTGCTAACCATGGTCCCATGAAATATACCAAATCCCCTTTTGGAGTTTCTCAGTGTAATTTGACAAATTAAAGGCTCCAGATAATTTTGTAGGAAAGACCTGTGTGTGGGTAAACTGTCGGCAGTCCTCAGACCAAATTCCCTCAGAGCACTGGTTTGGGGGAGATGCTGTTCTGTGGTATTTGCTTTTGGCCTCAGGCCCCAATGTATTCATCCATGTCAAACACCTACCAGAGGCTGGTTGTATTATATTTATTGGTGAGGTGAATTGTTACAGAGTTAATACACTTTTTATGTTTATTTAAAATCTCACACAACAGTATGATCTCTTAGTGGTGTATTGGTGACATTGTCCTCTGTTTTTCCTACAACCAAAGTGTGCTGAAGTATGAGAGGGAAGAAACGAACGTTTATTAAGAGTCTAGTTGGTGCCTAGTTTTTGTCTCTCAGCAGCTCTTTGGGGGTAGATGGAGCCTGCTGCCCTAAGGACATAGGGCCAAGAGTGTGTGTGACTCGGCTCCATACTCCACACTAGGCTTCAGCATTAGAAAAGGCTCTTAAAACCAAATCATATAATTTCTCTCCTGAAACTAAGGAAGGTGCGAGCCAGACAGATTGATGACTTCATAGAAATGGTACAGGCCTAACTATTTTCTGCACCATAGGAGCAGGAGGGGAAACAACTTGTGGAAATTAGCTTCTTTTGGTCAAGATTTTACATGGATTGCATCATAAATGTCTTTAAATTGGGAAATCCTAGATTTCAAAGTGCATTTATATTTAAATAAAAATAAAAAGAATCCTGCAGACAAAGCAGACAAATGATAGTGACTTAATCTGTCTTATTTTTTATTTACAAACCCCTTCACACATACATAATCTCACACATCCCTTTAAATAATTATTGTCATTTTTATGTGTGCATGACAAATAGGCAATTTTAATTTTATAATATTTATTTTTGGTTCATATTTTAAAATAATTTCTATCATAAAATATCTTAGTATAGCATACATATAAGATTTATCATTTATAGAAAGAATTTGATATTTTCTGTTTGTCACTTTTTAATTGAACATCAATTAATTATGTATGAAGAAAGACATTTGTTGACAAATATTAAATGACATGTCTCAGTTTGGGTAAAAATGTATATTTATGTATGAGTGAAATTTTGTTTCCAGAACCCAAAATAAGTCCATGCCTAATATGTAAAATTCTTATTATTTGTGTTTTTAAGCAATCAACTTATTATTTGTTTTTGAATTATAAGAGAAAGGTTGCTACTTTCAACAAGTCCTTCAGAAGTAGTACATGACGAGTGCACAGTGGTGTTCTTAATAAACTAAAGGCAATTTGATTATAACGATCACTGTATTTTCTTTTTTTGACATTGGTTTGTGAAGTGTTAGCTGACTCCTTGTTGTTCTACTTAAACATTTATCTGCTGTAACTTACAGATCAGGGAGAAATATTCCATGGCAAAGTTACAGAAGTATAATAATGATTTTTATGCACCTCATTAACTTAAAGGTTTCAGTGTCAGTGTTTTCAAACTTCAGGTGGGGATACTTTATATGTTATATGGCAGTAATTTAAACTGCAGAACAAGAGTAACACAGGCTTGTAGTGTTTTGCTATATAATAAATCAACCAAGTTATTAGGTCTTAAGCATGCTGTGATGTTGGCTACATTTGCTCACTGGATATGGGCTTATGGTCTTGAAAGGAATTCTGTTTTTTAAAGGAAGAAATTTAAAATAATTATTTTACCTATTAATTAAAATAAAGGATTGAAAAACAGATAGCTGGTTCTGTCACATTGCTGCCTCTATCAGTGGGGCTTCTCTGAGTACCATAACTGAACCCATAGGTTTGGAAACCTGGATTTAGACTTTAAACACTAATAATAATAATACCTCGCAGATAACTTATTTCCGGAAATGTACACATTAGAAAATATTTGTAATTAACAAAAACTCCCTTAGCAGTACAACATACAATGTAGGATACTTCACCTAATAGCCTCTCTTAAACAGATACCATGGGCACTTTATATAGAGAGAGAAATAAATAGTTTTTAATGAATTCTGATCTTGAAAACTGTATGTATATATTAGACTTTCATGTTTGGCTTGCAAGGTGGGGGAAGAAAAATAACATTGTAAACTGAAAGTGGCTGTGGAATATTTTTTGAAATATTTGATTTTATATATTGATGTTACAAATTCTATAGCATTCTTTGTTCTTTCTTTTTCCTCCATCTTTAGCTACACAGTCTCATCAGTGGTATTCTTGGGGCCCACCTAATATGCAGTGTAGGTTATGCGCAACCTGTTGGCTCTATTGGAAAAAATATGGCGGCCTGAAAATGCCCACCCAGTCCGAAGAAGAGAAGCTATCTCCCAGCCCGCCTGCAGAGGTACACGAGCAGCAGTCCTTTTAGTATTGAGGATGGCCATGTTTTTCAATGGCTCGGTCAGTCCTTGAAAACAGAAGTACAGTGTTAGGTAATTTAAAAGCAAACAAAGCTATTTTTATAGCTAAACATAGCACCACAGTATTCAGGGTGGGGTGGAGAGGGGCAGGGACAAATCATATCGTTTCAGGTATTCAAAATATTTGTCTTGTGAGACGATTACTGAGATAAAAGAACAATGTGTATGGGAGGCCTTAGCATAAGTAGAGCGCTTACAAATTAAATGTTCGTGTTCATGGCTTTTTTGAAAACAGTTTACACCCTTTAGATACTATTGGAAATGTGTCTTATTACATAAATCAACAAACTGAACATTTCCCCCCCCCTCCTGGGCTATTACAGGAGGCGCAAGACGGTGTGGACTTAATCTTGAGGTGAACACCAGTTGAAATTTGATTTTGGCAAAATTCTCATAGCAGATATCAAACACCCAGCTCTGTCAGAGGGAGACTATTCTATTTGAGTACAACAGGATCTCAGGAGTCCTTCAATGTTAAAAAAACAAAATAATTAACCTCTTTCCTTTAAAAAAAAAAAATTATTGTGAATATAGTTTTGGATTGTTAGTGTCAATTTAAAAACACAAATACCCACCCCTGACCCCAGACCCAGTTTTCTTCTCTACTTCCCCACTTTCTTTCCAAAAGTACACACTTTTTAATTCTATCCTTTGGGATAGCGTATTAAGTTGTAGATGTTTCAGTGAAGATTTAAAAACTGCACTTTTCTTTGAGCAGCTCTGTTCTTTACGTGTCTGTTGGTGTCTGATTCTGCAGGACCCCCGTGTCAGAAGCCACATGTCTCGCCAGGCCATGCAGGGGATGCCGGTCCGAAACACTGGGAGCCCAAAGTCTTCAGTGAAGACCCGCCAAGCTTTCTTCCTTCACACTACATATTTCACAAAATTTGCTCGTCAGGTCTGCAAAAATACCCTCCGGCTGCGGCAGGCAGCGAGACGGCCGTTTGTTCCTATTAATTATGCTGCCATTAGGGCAGAATGTAAGATGCTTTTAAATTCTTAACCTTACGTGTTGTGCTTCTGACCATTTTCTCTCTTTTCTGCTCTCTTTTTTGTTTTGTTTTTGTTTGCAATAAACATAAGTTCTTGTGTACAGCCTTTTTTATTTGGTTTATTTTTTTAACATTGTTTTTGTCTGCTGCCATCTGTATCATGCCAACCTGGAAAGAAAACATGGAGACCTCTGCCGTCTTGACGAGAGTGTAGTGTTCAACAAAAGACTGGTGGGAGTGGTCCTCTCCAGAGGGGTTCCGTGAGGGAACTGCTTACACAGGCCTTACTGAGGCGCTCTTACCTGGCAGGTAGTGTCACAATAGAATCCCCAAGGGGGTGGTACAGTGAAACTCCGTAACTGAGATACGCAGTCCCGTCTTGCATGAATTCATTAGGTTTGAGTAAAATCTGCCCATTTACACTAATTAAAAATTGTATGTCTTTGTAAACCTTGTTTTCCCATGAACCTTTTACAATTATCAGACAATATTTTGGAAATTCACAGTGCTTTATAACAAACACTAGGTTTATTAGAAGATTTAGCAAATTATAAATGAATTTAAAGTCTTTTGGGTGAATTTTCTGAAAATACACATTTAGTTTTTACAAGCTAGTGTCCGAATTTGTGGTTGAGCATTCTTCCTGTTGTCCTACCTGGTTTCCATTTCATAATCATATATCATATATTACCACATAGCATTTACATGACTTTATTACTCTCATTCGCAACGCATTCATTCTTGCTTATGTTTCGTTTTTTCGTTAGAACGAAGCTCATATGTCCCAATGAATTGTGGATTGTTCTGTTATTACTATGCACCCCTGAATGTGTCCCTGAGTTGTGTATGAGCTCTGATTCTGGTCATGCTACTTTCAGTCACCTTCCTGGCTAGCATTTTAGAGCCATGGAACTTTTCCCCCAAAGGATGAGAACACTTGCTGCCCGGCGTAACAGAGAGGAAATCTGAAAGAGAATCAGTAGATGTTTTTTCTTTATCCGTGAGATAAGAAAATTCTTGTTACGAGATGTTCCATTTTGATTTAAAGAGGGTATCTGTAAAAGGAGTAATGATTGAAAAACACTTCATTCCTAATTTTCAGCAAACAATTGAAAGGCTTTAAAAACTTACAGGTAAAAGTTTATAAGGAAAGGAAAGTGCTTCGTAAAGGGAGTGGAAATTGATAGTAATCTCTGAGCCCCGTGGAGGGGAGATTTAGCTACATTAGATTCACATATATTTGAGAATTTAGGCTTATGTTGAGGTTTCATGCCAGCATTTCTGAGTTGAGGGATTGATGCTATTTTCAGTTTTTAAAATCCATTTTAAGGAACTAGAATATTTATATTTATCTAAATTGCTTAGCTGATTTAAAACATACTTTTATATATAATTTCTTAAATAAAAAGAAAAAAAACATTTGAGAAAGAAAATGAATGAAATTCTTCCATTAAAGTTGGCTGGGATCCAGTATCATCTTTGTTCCTGTGAATGGAAAAGAAACCATCACCCACTAAATAGGCTGCTGGAGGAAGCTTCTGTTTTCCGTGCATGGCTCTTCTGTTCGTTTCTCTGAATTGGCACATTGTCTTTTTATATTTTGATGATTCTTTGGTGAAGTATATTTTTCTGTCACCTCATTTTAATATTTTCCCCTCAATTGAAAGGCCATACTGCTTTAAAAAAGTCAAGAATAAATTACCTGTATTTTATTTCTACAAACGTGATACAGTAATAATCAAAGAACGGTCATTTGTGATGAGATTCAAGGAACATTTTGTTTTGTACTTAGCTTCATTGATTGAGTTACATATAGAATTAGATTCTGAGAATAATTAATTTTACCTTGAGATTTAAAATGATAAAGCTTCAGCAGGCATCTACTCAGTTATTTTTTCAGATAATCAAATACTGAACTCTTCGTAGCATCTAATTAATTCTTATATCAGATTCTCCCTTCTTATGTGCATCTTATTACAGCCTCTTCAGCAGATACCTTGGTCTTGGCTTGTTAGTGAGAAGATTAGGTGTTAATAACCTGAGGTCTGTAAGCAGCCATGTCTCTGGTCCAGTGAGAATGTATAAGTGTATTTTTGGGGGTAAGCTTTTGGTTGCTGCAAGGCAGTGATAATCCTGTCCCTCCCCTTAAAAAGTTAAGAATCACTGTGATGCAATATGAATGTTCTTTTAGGTCACATAAAAGGTTGTAATTCTAGATATTAATAGATTAAGAACTCCAATTAATGCTTTTCAGAGTAATCATAATATTCGGAAAGAGAAATAGTTTTCCCTGTGAACTTTAGCGTCTTCCTCTTATAAGCACCGTCTATAAAAGCTGACCCCTTTGGTAGCACCATCAAAACCAGTGTCATAGCCAGAATTTATGGGGTGACAGACTCCATGAGTGAGGAAGTGGGGTGCTGAGGAGATAAACTCCCCACTAGATGGGGGAGGGCCTACTCATAACTGAATTCTTGACTTAAAAGTTAATCCTTGTTTAGAGGAAATTTTTGGTCAGTTACAACAGCTCTCACTGTCTTTTCATTAAGAAACTGGTATTAAGGACCACAGTATTGTAAGAAGGGGAATCTTTGTTTGCATATGTGTGAAGCATCCCAAGGAAAATGTGAGAAGTAGCATCTGTGGGAAGGGAAACTGGGAGGCTGGAGAAAGGTGTTGGGATGGAGACTTGCCACTCACTGTTCATCCTTTTAAGACTTTTTTCAGTTTTGAACCATGGGAATATATTTCCTGTTTTAAATAACTTAAAAGCAATTAAGTATATAGTATACCAAACATGTTTAAATATATATATGTATATATGAGATACATGGAAAGTGAGTTTTTAAAACCAATTTCTCCAAATACCTATTCATTTTAATAATATACCTTTATGTGTGGGTATGTAAGTCCATGCCAAAAATTACGTCAGTAGAGGACCTGAGCCAGTTTTACCTCACAGATAGTGCTTACTAAAAGTGAATCAGTAGATGCAAAATCAAACGTTGCATAGAACTACTGTGTCCTTGACAAGATTTGCAGACAGGTTGTAACAGCATCGTTTCAGACAGCCTGTCCCTTCATGACCTCCCTCCCCTCAGTGAAAAAGCCAGTGTGATCCTGGGGCTCCTCCTCTGTTGTGCCATCAGATACCACTGGGCTACCAGGTGACTTCAAGATCAGTAAAATCGCCCAATACCTGCTGAGCACAAGGTTACTATTTGAGATTCGGGATCCTCAGAGACAGGGAGGAAGTGTGTTAGCATCCTGTAGATGAAGCTGGGTCCTGGAGAAGTGGATCCAAATGATTTACCTGCTACCTTCGTAGCTTGCATGGGTCAGTGAGTGGTTTCTGGGTTGACAGCACAGCAGACTTGGACGACAGCATTCCCCAGTCTGAATCTTCCGGAGGCACCTGGAGCAATTTTTTTTTTTTTTTTTTCTGTTCCAAGATGCTAATTATACTTGGAAGTATTCCAATAATAAAGTAATATATTTTTTAAAATTTAAAATAAGTATCCAGGGGTAAAAAAGTATCCAGAGGTACTCTGTATTACTTTAAAAAAATATATTGATTTCAGAGAGAGAGGGAGAGGGAAAGAGAAACATCAATGATGAGAGAGTCACTGATCCGCTGCCTCCTGTCGGGATGGAGCCTGCAACCCGGGCACGTGCCCTGACCAGGAATCGAACCACAATCTTCTGGATCCCAGGTCGATGCTCAACTGCTGAGCCAGGGCCGGCCGGGCCCTCTGTATTATTTCCTTAAAAATTAGGTTAATTTAAATTAATTTTTCTAAAACTGATTAACCTAAGAATTTTTGGCTTATTTCCAATCATTTTTTATTACAAGTAGTATCGCAACAAATATTCCTATGTAGATACTTCATACTGATGTGTGAAATTGAATGTATCTAACAGGGTAGATTCCTAAGCAAACCCTTTGGATCAAGGAACATGCATTTTGAATTTAGATAGTTGCTACCCAGTTGTCCTCAGAAAAGTATAATTTATACTCCCACCCACAGTATCTAGAGATGCCCATTTCTCTAGGGCCTTCCAGTGGCAGTGTTGCCCATCTTTCAAACTATTTGACACGTGACATATGAGTTATATTAGCTTGCATTTCTCTTTTTGAGTGAGATGGAAATCTTGTATATATTTGAAAACCACGGGCATTCCTTTTCTGTCAACTGTTTTTGTCCCTACCCCTAAAAGTCTCAGTGACTTGTGGGAACTTTTTCTATTTTAAGCAAATTAGCTCTTTATGATGTGTGATGCAGATATTTTCCATTTCGTCTTTGACTTTATTTATGATGTATTTGCTAAACAGATTTTTAAAAATGTAGTTGGATTTATCTTTTTTTAAAAAAAATGGCACCTAGGCTTGGTGTCTTGTTTAGAAACGCCTCTACAATTCCTAAAAGAAGATTCCATGGATGGTTTTATTTTGACAGCAATCTTGAAAGCCCATGTGAGATGTTTTTATGAATTTTAACTCAGTGTTTACTTTTTGCAGTTTTTATGTTTCACTTATCCTACTAATATTTCCAGAGCAGTTTTAAAAAATGGTCATGAGTTACAGTAAAAGTAACTGTTTTTCCAGGTTTACCTCAGAGAGACGTAGATCATCCTCTTGGAAGCCAAAAAAGTGTGCCTTGTGTTCAGTCCAGTAACGTGAGTGAGATGCAGGTGTCCTCCCTCTCTGGGCAGATTCTGATTCCTTCTGGGTTCTTTGGACATTTCTCAGATTGTTTTCTTTGTGCACTTTTACTACACGCTGATGGATGATCTCTGTTGAATAGCTGAGTGAATGATTTGGGAGTGAGGACTGACCTACAGTGGCACCACTGGCTGGTCTGGTGTACACACCAAGATTCTCTCACCAACTCGAGTGCGGACCTGATAATCCTATGTTTATGATCATTCCCTCAGGGCGGGATGTATTTTTCCCATTTGTATATCACTGAATGGCTGCAATTTTTATGTTAAACCTTTACTAGGTAGTCTTAGCACCTTTCATCCCAATTTCTTTATAGTTGAGACTGATAATTCGTGTGGGATTAGTGAAATATGGATCCTTCCAAAGAGCTTTGGTCCCCCACTCAGGTGCTCTGTAAATTGTCACTTGTAACACATAATTTCTCCAACTAATTTAATGAGGAATTAAAAACATTAAAGTGAAATATCTTTGGGTATTGTGTTGGTGACCCTTTTAATGGATCTATTGATTCCTGTCAAGGTGATGGTTATATGGGAGTCCACCAATTGCAGCCACATGAGCAGTTTTCCTTTGGGCCTTATAGACTGGAATAAAGAGCAGTGTTAATCTAATTACTGGTAATTATAGTGATTGTCTTTGTCCGGTATATTGAGGAAATAACCATGATGATTCATTCCAGCTGTATTTATTACTAGAAAGGAGGAATTTTTCTCTTGTTATCCCAAATAGAACTTGAATTTCAGATGAATTAACAATATTAGGAAGGAATTATTATTTAGTATTAACTTTGTTGATTTGACAGGTGTTTGATCCTTGCAGGATTTGCGCTGCTTTTTAATGTTTATTTAGATTACGCTTCCAAAATATGAATATTATATTTCCACTTGTATCTTCATTACTCAACAAAAGGTGAAAAGCTTCAAAGCTTAGTAATTTCCCCCCCAAAGGAAATCAGCTGAATAGGAGGAAAAGAAATGGAATCATTACAGTTGTCACTGGTTTCATCATAATTAGGCAGTGTTTGGGATATATACTCAGATTCCTATTATTTGAGAATCTCTGTAGTATGTACTTTGCCTATTTTAATATTTTTTAAAATGCAGTTTTCCCATTTTTTTCTGTTTATTATTAGAATAGAGTTTCTTTAGTGAAAAAGAGGGCTAGAGCTTATGAAAAAGTTAATTTTTAACTTTAAATTATTTGAGGTTCCAGATAGAATTGTACATTTTAATAGTGCAGAGCATTCCTATGGACATCAAAGGACATTTTTGTATGTATGCCTGGAAATGTGGTCTTGGTCTGCGAAAGAGCAAATTCTCTAGTTGAATCAGCCTGTAGGACATTTTTGTCCAATATTTGAAGGTGGGGAAAGGGTATATTACCAGAGCAGTAGAATCATACCTGCTGAAGCCACTCTGTCAAGCTTTATGACAATATCTGCAAATCTAAACAACTTCAATACACGTTTTTGTCCCTTCAAACTCTTATTTTTAGAACAACTCTGGTATGAGAGGCAGCCCCGTTCCACTCCTAGCCTCCTGCCTGATGACAGCTCATTGAAATGCAGAGGGTGTCCGTGTTGTATGCTTTATTTTTTCTGTCTGAAACCTCTATGGTGGGGTCTGAGGAGTGTGATGTGAACTCTTATCAACTAATATCCATCCCACAGTATCTTACCGATTCTGACTGTTGGGTGAAATGCTCTGCATACAGGTGACCTTTTAAATCTCAGCACTCATGTCGTGATGGTGGGATATGAAGGATAGAAACCAGCGGTAAAACCAAACGACTCATTTCCCCCTGCAAGGCTGTCGTTGGATGGAGTGGCGTTTCCCCAAGCCAGCTGTGTCCCTCAGTGGGGAGCCACAGCGTCGGGTCGGGGTGCCACGAGGGTCAGCGACCTGTGACAGCTGTCACTTTTGTCTTCCATGCCAGGTTAATCTTGCATTAGGATCGATTCAGCCTCGTATTTCACGGAAAAATTTCCACTTTAAGGAAAGCCACAGCTAGAAAGGAGGCACATTGCGGCTGCTTTTAAGGGCGCGCACAGAACACGTGCGTGAGCCGGGCCCAGCCGCGCCCACAGGGGCTTTGAAGTGAGTGTTTCCCAGGTAGACCCCTCCTCAGGCACTGGCAGCCAGAACCTCAGGTTTTCTGACCCGGGGAAGGAAATCCACGGACCTGGTGGACACTTTGCACTGCTTTCCGCTGCGCCTGCTGCTGTGGCGCGTGGGGCGGGACCAGAAATCAGCCTCATGGGCCGTGTCCTTGTCTTTCTCTCCTCAGATGCAGACAGGCACGCCGAGCTCTCCGGGAGTCCACTGAAAAGCAAAAGCACCAGGAAGCCTTTGGCTTGCATCATTGGGTATTTAGGTGGGTATTTCCTAATAGAGGGCAAACTCAACAGTTTCTGTGTCTTCCAAATATTTGGCTACTCTAAATTGACATACTTCATCTAAGTTAAAACCTTGCAAGTAGCTGAGATTGGGTACCTTCCTATGTATAGTCTATTTTGTTTTAGAAACCTTTTTTATTACCAAAGTACACGCGACACACAAAATTATGGATATGTTTACTTTTCCCAAAATCATTGAATAAAAATGTAATATATATTTATGTATATAAATACAGATTAAGCAAAAAATGAAAATAAGAGCCATTAAATTATTAGAGAATGAACAGTCTTAATATTGTTCGGTTCTTCTAACCCACTTCACCTCTTCCCTTAAATAGAAAAGGATTGCTTTTTAAAAAAAGATAAAACTGATTTGTAACCTATGTTTCAAAAAATATTTATAGTTTTGATGTGCCAGTTGAGGTTACTTTGAAAGAGGAGCATTTGCATTGCTTTCTGAAAATTGCCAAAGAGGATGGTTCCATTTACATGTTGAAATATAACAATTAACAATAGATTAAAAAAATTACTGGGTGATGACCTTTTTTTCTTTGCGCAAAGTTTTAAGGTAATTTACAAAATAATGGTTCCTATTATACCTAGAAGCTATACTGGCATATTTTTGTGTACTTATGATATTCTTGCCTTTTCATTTTCTCAGTAAAAGTGAAATATGTAGTCAGAGTTGCACTGAACCTTATTGCTGTCAGAATTTATAGTTACAAAGTGTTCAAACTTCAGACAGCCAGTCTTTTAAAAATCAAAGCGTAGCCTTGAGCCTGGTGTATTACCTGGTCCTCATCAGAGCCTGCTAGGAGGCAGAAGCGCACAACTCCCTCTTTGAGGTTAGGCTGACACCTTATTTCTTCCTCGGGAGCTAAAGAGTTGCCCCTGAAAACATCGCCTGGTTATCATAGGCATGGACCTAGGTCATGGTGGTTACATCCTTGAAGTTTGCTGTCTCTGTCTTTCCTTGTAGGACCTAATCCTAGAAACCCCTTCCCACCTGCAAGGGAAAGTTTCTGATCATAAAAAACAGAATATAGCATTGCACGTTAGTTGGCCTCTCCCCAGGTAACTGTATTCCTCCCGCAGGCAAACTGGTCTCGGTCCCTACCCGATATGCTCAAAACTGGGCTGTCCTAGCTGAACCACATCTCCACATAACATATTTCTGTTTACTATGTACAAGACGCTATACTAAATGGTTTAGGGAACACCAAGATGAGTCAGGCCTTGCCCTCAAAAATCTTAAGTCTAGTGGAGAAGGCACACAGGTTAGACAGTTAACGATTCTATAAAGGACTTACAGGTAATATGCATTGGGCACTTGGAGGAAGGAGAGTTATTTCTGATGAGTGTTAGGGCACCTAAGTGAAGAAAGTAATATTTGATCTCAGCCTTGAAAGAGATACAGGATTTGAAAAACAGGAAAATAATATTTTTTCCTTTATGAGGCCAAGAAAACCAGATAAAGGTTTCAGTGAGTCAAGTACCTGAAAAGGTTAGGGAATTCAGGTTGTTTGGTCTGGATAGAGCATAAAGGTGGAGGTTGCAATTAAAAATGAGATTAACAGACCTTCAGTGCCATATTGGGAATAAAAAAATCACTATATTTTGGTTAGTACTTACTTGATCCATTTCTAAATTTTGGCAAGTGTAGGATTTTGACCAGGACAAGATGTAGAAATTCCAGCAATGCTAACGGCTCTTCCTAAATTTCAGTAAATGAGGCTGTTATCCTGGCTCTCACTTAAGCAGACAGAGTGGCTTGTGCATGGTTGGCACGCCGGGGGTTGACTCAGAATCAGTGAGCAGGTTTAGCTTTGGAGACGAGGTTGCCCAGCCTCAGTAATAGACCGAGGTCCTTAAATTCCAGTTCCTACAGTATTGCAACTTCTGTCTGTGTCCTCTGTCCGAAAAGCGAGTGGTTCTGGGCTATGTGCCTGCCAACAACGTACTCAAACACACAAATACCATGTGCGTGTTACAGGATTGTGGTGTATCCTCCGTGGGGGCGTTTCTTCTACTGCTTCTTGACGCGAGCGTTCGGAGTTTGGTGTCAGATTTCATGTATATCAGAATGTTCTGGGCGGGAGTGACTGGCCTTGGTCCTGGACCCTGGCTGCAGAGGAGGAACCCTGCTTTTCAGAAATCTCTCATGCACCAGATACGCTAAGTTCTGGTTGGAGAGAACACAGGTGGTTTTCTCTGAGGCCCCCTCTCCAGATAACTTTTAGATTGCTAATACCTTGAAGAGTCAGATGCCTTATTATTCCCTTAGTCGAGCTTTATTTAAGTGACCTTCTATAGTGTTGGTTTTTTTTTGCTTGTACTGACAACCTGAAACTCAGAGCTCCAGCTAGCAGGGAAAAGCCAGCGCACTTTGGTAAGGAAAGGAGTCATGGTAACAGCATTTGAAGCTGATTAATTATGCAAGTCCTTGGGAAAACAGGCTGGCTCATAAGGAACTGACTCTCAGCTCATTAAGAAACAAGATGTGTGCCTGTTAGCCAGTGAAGTTCACACAGAGGTTTTTAATACCGTGTTCTGAGTTGAGACACCTTTTTTCCCCTTGTCAGAGATCCATCCTTCGAAGAAACCTAGCGTAATTCGATCTACGCCAACTCTGCAAACCCCAGCTACCAAGCGGATGCTGACCACCCCGAATCACGCGTCTCTGAGCATTTTGGGGAAAAGAAACTACAGTCATCACAATGGCCTGGATGGTATGTAAGCCCAGGAATGCAGGTGCTGTTCTGATAGGCCAGGCCCCTCTCCCCTGCCAGTTCCAGGCCTCGTCTGCCACGTCTAAGAGCGTGTAACACATGGGTTCTGCTCCCTGCTCGAACTGAGTGTGGTGAGAATGAAAGGGAAGAAGGCGGCCGTGTGCCACAGTGAACACGTTGGCCGGGTGATATTTCTCCACCTCTTCAGGAGGGACGTTTTGCTCCCACTTCCTCTTGGGCGGCCTGTTTGGAGATGAGGTGTGTTCTAGCAGGTTGCCTCTTGGGTAATAATCTTCTTGCTCTGATGCACACTCACTGCTCATTTCTATTTCCTTGAGCAGAAGGGATGATTTCGCCTTCTGCCTGAGACAGCAGTGCTCTCTAGGGATTCTTTAGCCTTCGTGGGTTGTTTTGAATTTGACATTTGTCCCCTACTTCTTTCATCTTATAATTTTTTTTTAATTGCTCAAGAGTGCTATACGTCACAAAAGGAATTGCCTGGGTGATGTCCTAAATACAGAAATAATCATTTGTTTCTAATGGAAAAACAGAACTATCACCTCCTATCCAAAGTGCTTCTCTGGGGCTTGGCCATATAATGACTTCAGGTGGAATTGAATTATGTTCCTAGTGGAACCGTAAATCATTCAGGCAATATATATTGTTCATCTCAATAGTCCTGGAGTTTGAAACTGTCTTGATTGTTTAAATGTTGGCATTTATTTATGAATAAAACCCTTCCCAGGCTTCTCACATCTATGGAACTCTAAATTCCTTCAGTGACAGTAAATTATTTATAATGTGACCCTAGAGCAAGGATGTGAAATAGACCTTCTAGTAATAATTTTCGATGGTGTTCTTTTTTTCCAGCATGACTTTGGGTGGTCATAGTGATGTCAAAATGAATAACCATTTGAGGGTGAGGAGTTTAGTTTGCATTTATAGGTTTATCAGTTTGTTGTGGATATGGCTCTCAAGAATTTAGCTACACAGTAATCTTATGAAATAACTTCCTTGCTAAGGAGAACGTTGGCCCTCCTCCCCGCAGTGTGCCTAGTGTTTAGACAACAGAACACCGAGGAACAATTGTGTCAGAACGTGGAGATTGGATTTCTTTCCAGCTTTTCCTTGCCCACAGCCTGGGGCCTTGGTGTTCAGGCTTAAGTGGAATCAGGAATCTCTCTTTTCCATCTCGTCACTTCCCTGGCCTCTGTAGGTTTATAGTCCTACTGCAGAAAGCAAAAAGTAAGTTCTGGTTCATTTGAAATATGTGTATCAAATGGATATACATACATATTTACATATATAGGTATATATATCATTATTTTCCCTTTATGGTGAGAAGAAGTATCTTTTCCTCTCGTGCCCCACGGTCCTGGTCATTCTGGGTCCAGTCCTGCATTGCAGCTCCTGTTGCTCTTTCCTTGTGTCACAGGTTCCCGTCTCCTTGGAGTTTCTAAAAATAACCCTGCTGCCTTGTAGTGTTCCCTCTCTGTGGCTGTTCGTCCCGTTTCCTCCTGAATGAAGGCTGCTGCAAGGCCACTGCTTCCCTGCTCTGAACAGGAGGAATGGACAGGGCATATGATGAATCCCTGGTGTTAAGTTGACTGAGATTTTCTGCCTTATTGAGGAAGAGACACTTGTTTCATTTTCTGAAGAGACCTAGCTGCTGAGACACTTTTTAAGATTCACTGTCTTTGATCTCCTGCCGTGGTACAGAGAGGGAGGTGGGTGACATGTGCCTTGCCTGTGCTGTCTCGCTTGATTCACACGACAGAGGCTCCAGGACATCAGGGAATTTTACTGTTTTGCGTAACATCGTAGCTGTTCTGCCTAGCACAGTGCCTGGGACGTAGTAGTTGCTCAATAAATGTTAATTGAATAAGCGAAGTGAAAGTGATTGAGAAAATGAGACCAAGAGAGGTAAATTGAAGTGTCCACAGTTTCCACATAAATGGATTGGGATTCCGCCTCGGGTGTGACAGATTTAACCACTTATCAATGAAGTTGTAGCTCTCAACTGTGCTGTATTTGTCAGCAAAATAGAAACGACATAAGCTATTTTAACAACTAGTAAAAGAAATCAATATGAGAGATACTGGGGGACACAATAGGAAATGGGGAGCATGAGGTGGTTGGTGCACAGGAAGCAGCCTCCATCCCTAGGGTTGGGGATATCACAGCTGGAAGCTCAAGGAGGGCCCTGGGAGCTGGCACCCAGACCCCTCGAGAGTGCACTGTTCTGGTGCTGGCATCTCAGGAGTGATGAGGCTGGCTCTGGGATGCGAAGGAAAGTTGGGAACCGGAGCAGACCTCTGCTGCTGCTTGGGGCGGCCTGACAGGAACGGGAAAAAGCCGTCTCCTCTGTCCTTCAGTTGGCGGGCTCCCTCTAGCACCCCCTACTGGTGTAACAGGGAGCCTGAGGGCTAAGGAGGGATGAGCTTGCTGAGTCCCAGCCCAAGCATCACTACTGCCTAGCACACTGCCTGGAACTTAGTAGATGCTCAATAAATGTTAGTTGAATAGAAGTGAGTTTATTTCTTTTTAAATATATCTTTACTGATTTCAGAGAGAGGAAAGGAGGAGAAAGAGAGATAGACACATCAATGATGAGAGAGTCGTCATTGATCGACTGCCTCCTGTAAGCCCCCTACTGGGGACTGAGCCTGCAACCCAGGCATGTGCCCTGACTGGGAATCGAACTGTGATCCCCTGGATCCTAGGTCGATGCTCAGCCACTGAGCCATGCCCGGCTGGGCTGGAGGTGAGTTTAGATGGATGGACATGGAGCTGAGAGACGACTATAGCACAAACACACATTTTGGAAAATGTCCTTATTTTTGTATTTCCAGTGGACCTTTTTCTTGGGATAATGGGTCTGTTTCTTTTTTCTTTGGGATATGGAATCATGACTAACCTGATTTTCCAAGGTGAACTCAAAATACCAGAACAAATGTCAGGCTAATAGTGAGTTTTCATGGGATAGTTGATACTATCATAACTGGAATTGATAGATACAAACTCATGGAAAAGCCAGGCTCTATGTGATCCAGTAATAAAGTCAATTAACACTGCCACTTAATTATCAGTAAGTCAGACAGATGAACACACCAAAGGGGATGTTGAGGGACAGAACTAATTTAACTGGAAACAAAACCTGATTGTACTGAAATCCTCAGGTCTCAGCCTCAGGGCTTCCTGTCCCCTTCTCTGTGGCTTGCCTCCTTCACTCACCCTCTGTCTTCAGGTGGAGGTTCTGGGTGTTGTGAAGAGTCTGGATTTCTGCTGGCAGAAAGGGTTTTACCTGACATTAAAAAAAAAAGTTGGACAGCTTCTTATTGTCTTCCCCAAACTCACTGTCTTACACCTGGCTCTGGCCCGTTAAAGGCCCTGGTGTGACTGCGGCTGGGAGCCAGCGCTCTGTGCCCTGTAGGCTCAGCCCCTGGCACCGGGCCGCACGCAGACTGTGACCACCCTCACAGGCTTCAGCTCTGATGGTGAAGACAAAGTCTGCGTACATAAGAAGCCCCATTTTGGGGTCAGTAATGTAGGAAGAGTGAAGTTTCAAAATACAGCCCTACCTAGTACCTTATCCATCCCCTACACTTCAGTGTCCCCCAGGCCGCTGGGCCAGTGGTGACCACATGCAGCCACAGTGCTTTCCAAGTCCTGTCCCTCCTTTTCAGATTTACAGATGCTTTGGGGACCTTTTTATTGCCAGCAAACCAAGTACCCACCACACTTGGCCTTCTTGGTTAACCCCTAGAGGCCGTGAGTAGGGACGGCCCTGAGATCAGGATGAGGAGCCTTTACTGGAGAGCCTCTCGGCGCTTGAGAGCCCAGAGGAAGGGCAGCGGGGGGCATGGAGGCTGTGCCACGGGCACCCGAGTGTTTGCAGTCGGATGGGATTAACTGCCGACATCTCTGATGATTTCCCGTGTGGCCTTGGATGAATCACTTGGTTTCTTCAGATCTGTTTTTTCCTCCAAATAGCACAGAATTTAGTTGCCTGAGTGGAGCTGTTATAATGATGAAAAGTTCTTCACCTACTTTATATGACTTGATCTTCTAAACACTTTATGAGCTAGGTGTTATAACTTGCATTTTTTTATTGTTTGTTATTTAAATAAAAAAAAATTTTAGTTACAGGAATGATTACACATTTAAATAACTTGTGATGTGATTACTATGATAAGGCTAGTACCCATCTGGAACTGGCATTTTAATAATGTAAAAACTGAACAAAGTTCAGGGAGGTTAAGGGATTTGCCAAAGTCACATGGCCAGCAAGCAGCAGGGATGAGACTGAAACCTCAGGTCCCGTGTCGTTTCCCCCCGGGGCCAGGAAAGGACCTAGGTTGGTGTGTTGAGTGCAGCGTGTACCTGGGAGGTGCTTAATTTTGTGTGGAGGAGATGGGTGTGTTTGTAAATATAGAGAGGGGTGTGGTGGGTGTTTCTTTGCTAAGGTTATGAAGTGTGAGCCATCACTGTGTAATGAAAGCCTTCACCTTCTCCTGCCTCTCTGAAGTCCTCTGCCGTATTATGCCACTCCCCCCTTTTTCTGGAACTTAGGGCATAGGAGCTGTATTAGTGCCAGAGAGAGGAAAGAAAAAAGAGAAAATTCACAGAATCACCTCAAGGTGGACTGTTTAAATGACATGCTATTCCCAGCATTGACTCTAACTTGTATTAGATGTTTGTTAAGTGTTAAGATTCCATCCCCTCCTTTAAAGAAGAGCTGTTATTAAAGTTTGATTTTGAAAAATTTTAAGATATCAACCAAAGTTTTTGTAGTCATATGTGAATTGTATATAAATAAAATGTCAATTCTTTCCTTATAACTACACTGATTTTTTACCTACGGGTATGATTCTCAAAGAATGACTCATGGGTTTGCTTGAAGGCGAATGATTGCACATTAGAAAGGCCCAGTGTCTATAAAGAGAAATTGCCCTTGATTAAGTTATTTAGATTATTGAAGACCGGAAATTAGGTTTATA